CCTCCCAAGTAGCTAGGACTACAGGCGCCCGCCACAACGCCTGGCCATTTTTTGGTTGCAGCCATCATTGTTGTTTGGCGGCCCGGGCTGGGGATTCGAACCGGCCACCTTAGGTGTATGTGGCTGGCGCCTTAGCCGCTTGAGCCACAGGCGCCGAGCCTGTTTTGGCATTTTTAGTAGAGACAGGGTATCACTTTTGTTCAGGCTGCTCTTGAACCTATGAGCTCAAGCAATCCACCCACCTCAGACTTGTAGAGTGCTAAAACTACAGGAGTGAGCCACTGTGCCTGGCCTTCCCTGAGCCATAGGAGCTGCCTGATAAAATTTTTAAGTGAAACAATGTGGTCAGAGAGGGGAGATAGGGGTAGGAGGGGCATAGTGTGTTACACACCTCTTATGAGTGGGACACTTAGGGACTTCAGGTGGCGCCTGTAGCTCAGTGGCAATGGCGCCAGCTACATACACCAGAGCTGGCAGGTTCAAACCCAACCTGGGCCTGCCAAACAACAACTACCACCAAAAAATAGCTGGGTGTTGCGGCCACCGCCTGTAGTCCCAGTACTTGGGAGGCTGGGGCAGGAGAATTGCTTGGGCCCGGGAGTTTGAGGTTGCTGTGAGCTGTGACGCCACAGTATCCTACTGAGAGCGACATTGAGACTCTGTCTCAAAAAAAAAGAAAAAAGAAAGAGAAACTCAGCAAACACAAGCAGTATAACTTGGCTCACTGTACCTTCAATGATTCTCAAACAGTAAAAAATAAATAAAAGAATGTAGTCAGAGGAAAGAGCCAAGGCCTGAGCCTAGGGGAGCACCCACACAGGGGAATATCTCTGGAGGTGGGGTGAAAGTGGAACTGTTGAGACCTAGAAGTTGCTGCCAGATAGGTCTTAGAGAAGCATTGGGATAGCATGCTATCATAGGCAAGACTAGAAGTATCAAATGATAAAGCATGAAGTATATAGCCTTTGTAAAATGTATGCTGTTGATTAGGTAGAAATTACAACCTAATACTGATTCTGTGGGTACAGAGTGTTTTTGGAATGTCCAACCAAGTGAAAGCAGTGGAAGTTGGGCTGCCAGGGGTTAAGGATGGAGTATTTATAAAAAGGAATCAGAAAGAGTAACATCACACTACATTGTCAAGAATTATGGAGAGGCTCCGTGCCTATAGCACAAGTGGGTAAGGAGCCAGCCACATACACCAGAACTGGTGGGTTCAAATCCAGCCTGGGCCTGCCAAACAACAATAACTACAACCAAAAAAAATAGCTGGGCATCATGGCAGGTGCCTATAGTCCCAGCTGTTGGGAGGCGGAGGCAAGAGAATTGCTTAAGCCCAGGAGTTTTCAGGTTGCTGTGAGTTGTGATCCAACGGCACTCTACCCAGGGCAACATCTTTAGGCTCTGTCTCAAAAAAAAGAAAAAGAAAAGAAAGGGCTCAGCACCTATAGCTCAATGGGCTAAGGCGCCAGCCACGTACACCTAAGGTGGCGGGTTCGAATCCCCAGTCCGGACCTGTCAAAACAACAATGACGGCTGCAACCAAAAAATAGCCGGGCGTTGTGGCAGGGGCCTGTGGTCCCAGCTACTTGGGAGGAGGAGGCAGGAGACTCGCTTGAGCCCAGGAGTTGGAGGTTGCTGTGAGCTGTAATGCCACGGCACTCTACTCAGGGGGACAGCTTGAGGCTCTGTCTCAAAAAAAAAAAAAAAAGCTTAAGCAGAAAGAAGTGTGGGGACAAAAAGAACTATGGAGAAGAGAAAGAGGACAATCAGGCTCAAGAGATGCTTTTAAGGTGGGGAATCTATTAATAACTTATAGAAGAAATAATCACTATGAGGAACAAATTCCAGTAAATAATGGGATACATGGTACAGTGACGTTCTTGAGGTGTAAAGTAATCACAAGCCCAAATAAAGAAGGTTGCCTTGGAAAAGTCATATTCTCTGACACAAAGGGAGGCAATTATTCATTGAGCACAGAAGACTTGAGAAATGGGGGAGCCATGTATAAGTACAATGAGAAACATGTTTAAGAGCCAATAAACAATGACTAAATGACAGAATAGCCTCATACTCTACGAAGGCTTAGGATAAGAGAAATGGCTTTGGAGAAAAGTGGGACAAATCAGCAAGAGAGTGACACACAGAAGGATAGAGATATGAGCATGGGGCTCAGCGCCTGTGGCTCAAGTGGCTAAGGCGCCAGCCACATACAACTAAGTTGGCGGGTTCGAATCCAGCCTGGGCCCGCCAAACAACGATGGCTGCAACCAAAAAAATAGTCAGGCATTGTGGCAGGTGCCTGTGGTCCCAGCTACTTGGGAGGGTGAGACAGGAGACTCGCTTGAGCCTAGGAGTTGGAGGTTGCTGTGAGCTGTAATGCCATGGCACTCTACCCAGGGCGACAGCTTGAGGCTCTGTCTCAAAAAAAAAAAAAAAAATACGAGCATGGGCTTCATTTTTGCCTTCTTATAATACTGAGTAGCCTTCCTTATTTTAGCATTATCTAGCAGCAGCCTTTTTTTTTTTTTTTGAGACAGTCTCACTTGTGTCGCCCTTGGTAGTGCACCATGGCGTCATAGCTCACAGCAACCTCAAACTCTTTTTGGGCTAAAGTGATTCTCTTCCCTCAGCTTCCCAAGTAGCTGGGACTAAGGTGCCCACCACAACGCCTGGCTATATACATATTTTTGTTGTTGTTGCAGTTTTTGGCCGGGGTCAGTTTTGAACCCGCCACCACCTCTGGTATATGGGGCTAATGCCCTACTCCTTTGAGCCACAGGCGCAGCCCTGATGCCTGCCTATTTTTATAGATGAGGTCTCACTCTGGCTGAGGCTGGTTTCAAACAGGTGAGCTCAGGCAATCCACCTGCCTTGGTCTCCCAAGTGCTAGGATTACAGGTGAGAGCTACTGCACCAGGCGTAGCAGCAGCTTTTTAAGTAAGAATGAAGCCCAGTGTCTCAAGAGTCTTTTGACTCTGAAAATTCTAGGGAACCTTTCCCTTTTCCAAACTGGCAACCACAGTGGCTATTTTGACCTTTGTGTCTCTCCTCTGGCAGCAGGTTACATATGCATTTATCCATAAGCATCAATAGCTTTCATCAAAGAGTCATTCCAGAGCAGAAGAACCTGCTAGTCTGGGCCAGCTGGAAGATTACAAGGGTTGCAAGACATAAAGGGAAAGGTACTAGTCTCTACTGAACCCTGTAACTGTCCCAAAAGTGTTCCTCAGGAAAGCAAAAGCAGATGGTCCCATTTCCTCTCCCACAGAACTTATATTGTCCCACCCAGAGTCTTACTTGGTGGCACTCTTGTTCACAAACATTCCCATCTCCTTTCTTCTTTTCTGTAGCTCAGAGAATAAAGATTGATATTTGAGGCAGATAGTGTTCAATTTCCCATCAGCAAACTGTTTCGGTTAAAAAAATTCTTTAATTAGAAAGGATTTATCTTCCCTTAACACAAGTACACACGTTAAAAATAAAAATACATATACATACATATGACGTATATATATATATATAAATATTCACACAAACTAGAAACCACAGAGGATAGTTGCATGGCCTGGGTTAGGGGCTGAGAAGATGGGCATCTGGAGCAACTGGAGGACTGCTTCTCATCTGTTGCTCTAGGTGTCCTACAGTCATCTCTCTTGCCATGATGGGTAGACTGGGAGGGGAAAGGGGACAGCTCCGGTCTGATGGCAGAGTTACTGGCAAACTGTAGCAACGAGGCCCTTCTCTAGACAGTTTCTTAGGATCACCAGAGATGACAGGAGATGCTGTAGTAGGCAGAACTGGAGTGGTCGGGGTAGAGTGGGTGAAAGGCTGCACTCCATGCTGGAGAAAAAAGATGACGCCAATGCTGGTTCCAGTGCCTAAAGGACCATGGCTAAAGGAGATGGTACCTGGGGAACTGAGAGGGGGGTTGCAAATTGGAGTGGTATGGATCCAGGTAAGGTTCAGAGCTGGCCAATCTGTGAGGTGACAAGGCTGCTCTGGTTTCAAAACTACATGTCCAAGCTGTGACTGGTCCACCTTTTCCAAGGAAGATACAGGAAAGGAAGCAGCTGAATCACTGTGGTGGCTTGGAAAATGCTAGGGAGGGGAGAAATTAGAAAAAAAAAAAAAATGGACAAAGCTTTCAAATTAGCTCCACCAGATTAAACTTTTGCTATCTTTGGGAACTCAGTTCCCAGCATAAAACAACATACCTTGTTTTATACAACAGATATGTTCATGATTAAGTAAAAATTTTTAGTAATGAAATTATACTTTAGGGATAGTGCCTATGGCTCAGTGAGAAGGGTGCCAGCCCCATATACCGAGGGTGGCGGGTTCAAACCCGGTCCCGGCCAAACTGCAACAACAAAAAAATAGCTGGGCGTTGTGGTAGGCACCTGTAGTCCTAGCTACTTGAGAGGCTGAGGCAACAGAATCGCCTAAGCCCAAGAGCTGGAGTTTGCCATGAACTGTGACACCACAGCACTCTACTGAGAGTGACAAAGTGAGACTCTGTCTCTTAAAAAAAAAAAAAAAAAAATTATA